GCATTTTTAATCATTTAGAATTTGGACGGTTACATCCGCCATACAGCTGAGACGCTGCAATGTTTAATAATCAGGAATTTTGCAGTTGATTTGATGACTTAACTGATATGATAGATTTATGTCTTAACTCAGTGGCAAATTGAATGTAACTGTTTATCTAAAAAAATCTGACAACTTATTTGAGCATCACTGACATGATATGGTTTTGATTTCTGTAATAGTACTAATAATATGAATGTGCTAAAACTAAATACACAATAACCAGGTTTATATATTTATCATCAATAAATCCAATTTGTTTCATTTGAACTAATTTAATATTTCTTATTCCACATCTAGCCAGATTTTAACCGTTCATACTTTTTAACTGAACAGATTCATATTGATTCTAAACAATTGTAATAAATTAATTTTGAAAATATGAAAATCAAGCCTATGCTGATAGTTAATAATATAACTATTGCATGACTTTTTGAGTGCATCTTAACTATTTCTTGCTAATTAATGTATGAAAAATATGCGTCACATTATGTTTATTAGTTTGTTTATGTTAATAAGACCTACATTTTTGTGGAGGAAAAAAAATAGAAATTTTAAAGAATAATTATTTAGATCTTTAACTCAAAATGATTAGTTGGACAATTTATTTATTTTTATTATTTCTATTTCTATTTCTATTATTTATATATATTATTTATTTATATCATGACTCCAAGATGCCATTAATTAAATTGAAATACAAGTTACCAAGGAGATTCAAAGACATTGTTTTATAAAAAAAAGTTTATATTTATATTTATGCATATAGCAGGTGCTTTTGTCCAAAACGACTTAAAATAGAGAAACAATTTTTCACAGAGTCAACTATATTAATAGTATACAATGCCAAGTTTATTACCAGGAAAATGAGCAAATTAATGAATTTTTGAATAAAGCTATGGGTCAGGATAGTTGATCAAGTGTCATAAAACCACATAAACTGAGAGTCTGTCATGTGTTAAGGTCCAGTGAGGTGCTGTACCAAATATTCATCACTGCCTTTTCCTGTCCTCCGACTGAAAGACTTCACCCGACAGGACACCACCATGACCTGCAACATAGAGGCTGTCATGTGAGGAGCAGCACTGGTTTTGTCTTAAATAGATTAACATTTTGCATTAATGTTTATGTAAGAGAACAATCTGTAATATCTGTAATATTTAATCTAGAATATTCTCTCTCCTGTAGTTTTACTACGGTGAAGAACAGACAGATCTGTGCAAACCCTGATGATCTATGGGTTCAGAACGCTATCGTGCATATCCAGTGAGTTCAGCATTACACACACTTACATTAATGTTTCTTGGCAATGGCACATGAGCACAAGACTTAAAGTGGCTATAGTGAATGACTAAACTGCAAGTATATTACTGACCCAGTGTAAAGTTTTGTAATGTGCAGTGTCATATGTCTCCATATGCTGAATATACTGGTAAATATGAATGAGCTAAAGTTCAAACTTGAGAATCCTCTCCTAAGGGTTTTATTTAATTGTCTCTTGCAGGAACACAAAAAAGTCATCATAATGTGGACACCATCAGATCGGTCTAAAACTGGCTTAAGCTGAACAAATGAACAGAAACAGAAATCCTTCTATAAAATGTATTGTTTAGAATTTATTTTTATAATTAATAAATGGTTTTGACAGCAACACTGTTTTGTTTTGTCTGTAACATTTCTAGTAAAGTTGACACTTTGTGAATTTGTGCACAATATTGTATGCTCATAAGGCTGCTCTGGCATTACAGCACACTAAAACAAATATTCAAATATTCAGTAAACCTGGGCAAATGAAAGTTTGTGAGCACATACAGTAGACAGCAGGTGGCAGTATGTGCCCAAAAACCCAGCTGCCCCAAAATACACATACAATCCTTAATGTTTTGAATAGGATATGTATTTAGTGCTTGTAAAAGCATTAGTAATAATTAATCAAATGTATCCTCTTAAGTAAGCAGAGTGTTGAAATTATGTTGTCAAGACAGCTGCATTTGTCTTGTCTGATGAACGTTTTTGGATCGGTCATCCCTTGCTCAGGTGGAAGGCCAACATTCAACAGGTCATCATTATTTGATTGTGATATACTTAGGGTTTTGGTACCCTAGCTAGGGTGTGCGTAATTAGAAGTTGTTGTTTTTTTCAACATGAGGCAGATCTAAACTACAGGTTCAATGGCCAAATTTGAATGCTATAAATGTAAAAATTCTCTGTGCTATCTTTTTTTTATTTAGATGTAAAATTGCATTTCTGTCAAATCTCACTCGTAACAGAAATTCTCTTACTTGAAGTCTGGTCACAATCTTTTAGTGACTTCAGAGTTACAGACTCGTTCTATAATCTACTGTTGTCATTAGTGGCCTCTGAAACACGGCTTGTTTAATTTACATTGTTGCTTTTGGTAGGCACTTTTATCCAAAGCAGCTTTCACTTAATGCATTGCTGAAGTCAACATTTTTGTAAACAGCCATGCAGTCATGTTATTTATATTCTCGTGAATGTGTTCTGCAAAGCCACTTGGTCATATTTTTAACTCTAATTTCATTTCCTCTGTTTTATTTCATTACTATTGCCCATTGGGGTTTGTAAAACAGTGAATCTCCATTTAAAGTTTCTGCAATAGTAATTTGTCATTGCCAATGTCAAAAAGGGCATATACTGTAGGATGGCAAGTCAGCAGCCTTAAAACTTCAGCTTTTCTATCTTTCTCCCATATGTCATATAACTGTTTGGCTGAGACTGAACATGACCTGCAGGGTGACAGGTCCAAACTGGTGAGCTGTTGTCAGCAGTTTCATATAAAAACATATCCTACATCCTTTTTTTTATGAAAAAGGAACTTGTGTTCCTTTTTCATAAAAACAAGGATGAGCATGTAAAAATACTCTTCACTGAATGATTTGTAAGGCATTTGTACAATCCTTATCCCTTAATAAACCCGACAGGATAAATAAGGACCCCGGGCATGAAATGGAGCTTGTGCCGAGGCTGTGATGCTGTGAAGATCTCACACTACACACAGTATGAGAATAGTCTTGCATGTCAAGTGTCAAAGAAGATTCTGTGGTTCAGAACTTGGCACATTTTCCTTTAGAAAGGAAAAGTATACATTTGTCCATTTGTTGTGAGTAATGTGTAATCTATAGAGTTAGATTTTTTTTTTAATATTACCATATTTCAAAGGTTGTGGTATTTATGAAACCTATAGGAACAATTGGAATATTAGAATATTTTGAATTAGTTTACTCCAAGTCTAATTTTAAATAATCGGGGTTTTTTTTGCTCAGTTTGGAGTGAGAAAGTATATATGTGACCCTGGACCACAAAACCAGTCATAAGGGTCAATTTTTTGAAATTGAATAAATAAGCTTTCCATTGATGTATGGTTTTTTTATGATAGGACAATATTTGGCCGAGATACAACTATTGGAATATCTGGAATCTGAGGGTGCAAAAAAATCAATGTCTGAATCAATGTCAAATCAATCAAAAATTAAGTTTTAATATATTTACAGTAGGAAATTTAGAA